GTTAATATTGTTCATCAGATTTTTTAATTCCCTTGGTTTTTAGATTCACTTGTTGATAGTTACGTATTTGTTGTTCATAATTTTTATCTTTATCTTCTTCCTCTTCCTAAATAACCCCCTTCAGCAATTCATATAATTCTGGTTTAGCGGTGATGAACTCCTTTAGCTTTTTTTTATTTGTGAAGCTCTTTATCTGGCCTTTGATTCTGAATGATAGCTTTGCTGGGTAGAGTATTTTTTGCTGTAGGTTCTTCTATTCATCACCTTGAATATTTCTTGCTATTCCCATCTGGCCTGCATGGTTTCTGTTGAGAAATCAGCTGACAATTGTATGGGTGCTCCTTTATAGGTAACTACCTGCTTTTCTCTTGCTGCTTTTAATATTCTCTCTTTGTCTTTTGCTCTTGGAATTTTAATTATGATGTGCCTTGGTGTGGTCCTCCTTGGATTCCTTTTGTTTGGGAATCTATGGGCTTCCTGGACTTGTAAGTCTATTTCTTTCCCCAGGTGGGGGAAGTTTTCTGTCACTATTACCTCGTGTATTCTTTCGGTATCTTCTCTCTCTCTTCTTCTGGGATCCCCATAATTCTGATGTTGGTTCACTTGAAATTGTCCGAGAGGTTTCTTACACTATCTTCAACTTTCTGGATTCTCTTGTCTTCTTGTTTCTGTGGAGGAGTGTTCTCTGGCCCTTTGTGTTCTAAATTTTTGACTTGCTTCTTGTGAGCTTCCAGTCTATTTTTAGGCTTCTGTGTAATATTTTTTTTTTATTTCTGACAATGTTTTCTTCATTTCTAGTTGATCCCTTTTCATATCCCATAGGTCTCATTTATTTTATTGATCTTTTTAAGGATATTCTTGAATAACCTTATAACTGTAGTTTTGAATTCAATGTCCAATCTTTTCTTTCCCTCCATCTCCTTCCTTTGTGTCCCACCTCTTGTCTGCATTTTAGTTGGTTCCCTGATTTGATGGAATAGTTTTGTGTGCTAGGTGTTCTGGTAGAGCCCAGTAGCACAGCCTTTCCAGTTACCTGCAGCAGACAGTCTTGGTGTAGCCTTTTGTGGGCTGTGTGTGCAGTTTTGTTGTTAAGCCTTGCTTATTGTTGGTATCACTGGAAAGGGTTGATCTCCAAGCCAATTGGCTGTGAGGATCAGCAGTGTTTCAGCAATGAGGGCTTCTGTACTTCGCTTGGATGGGGCAGGGTCTTGGCGTGGCGCAGACAATCTTTGGTCCCCTGTCAGTCTCGCCTTAGAAAAGTCCTATTCATGGTGAGTCTCACCAGATTGATTGCAGGCACATGCATCTCTTTGGTAAAGGCACAGACAAGCTTTGCATTCTGGCCAGTCCCTCCTTAGAGAAAGCCAGCCTCTGGGAGAGCTTCTGTGCTCAGCTTGGACGGGGCAGAGTCTCGGGGTGGTGCAGACAAGCTTTGTTTTTCTGTCAGCTCCTTCCAAAGTCTCGCAGTAATGGCCTCTGGCTTCACACACCTCTGAGAGTTCTCCGCCCACTGCCTGACAGTCTGGCCTCTCCCTGTCTGGGACCGTCTATCAGAGCAATAGGATGATTCTGTTTTCCTCTCAAACAAGAAAGCCAGCCGAGTGTTAGCTGTGGGCCCTCTCCACCTGCCGGGAGTAAGCCAGTAGTGAACTCAGCTCTGCCCACCCTCTCTGTGCACTGGGAGTCAGCCAGCAGCAATCTCAGTCCAGCCCTTCCTCTCTGCACGCTGGAAATAAGCCAGCGCCTTTTCACGCACATAGCTCTCCGTACCTTCACAGTTCCCGAGGCTCAGAGTGACCTCTCTCTCCCTCCAAGATGGCAGAGCCTCCTCTCAGCTAGCTGTCCGGCGCTTCAGGGCAATGCCTCCCCTGTTTTCCAGTTCTAAATTCAAATTTGTTGTGGTAGGCTGCATTCGGGTGTCTACCCTATGCCGCTATCTTGGTTTCTCTTTATAACCCTTTTCTTTACCTCCTATACAAATCACCACCACCAACCTAAGCAGAACTATCTCTCACGTATCTAAGAATACTAGCCAAACTTTAGGGACATTCTAAGGTCTACAAATTCTTTAGCACACATAGTCCATATTCACAAAGAAGCCCTTGGTTATCTACTAGCTGAACAGGGCAAAATCTCTGCCATGATTAACACTTCTTGCTGCATCTACATAAAACCCTCTAAGGTGGTAAAGTAATGAACAACTTGAATCCCTCAACAAGCAACCTGACTGAACAGAAAAGGCCTCACAATCTCTCTCCCCAGAAATTTAGAAACAAATTAGAGAAATAATACCATCCTAAAAGGCTAGTTAGACCCTTTTCTTGGCCCCCTGTGCATACTTTCTTATGACTCAACTTTAACCATTGCCTGTCTAATCTTTTGGTATGCTTCATATCCTCAAGTTTATTAACCCTGAAGCTACAGATGGTCCTCCAAATGAAACCACAGATGGAGGGTGCTGATTCTATCTTCCATGGACCCCTAGATCGTTCAGCTCTGATGGGACCCTAACTGTTGCCCCAAACAACATCCATTTGGCAGCAGATAGTCAGAAAGAGCAGTATCCCTTGTCCACAATAGCAATTTGGATTTCCTAATCAGAGGGGAGACTGAAAGGGTTAGCTAGCTAGTTTAATTAGGCAGGTTTAGAAAGTTTTAGAAATGAAAGGGATCTATAGGGAAGGAATATATAATAGAGACTTGAAGATGCCAGGGTGTTTATCTTACTTGTACAGAGAGTAGAGAAATGGAATAGGCAAACAGAAATATATCTGACCCATGAAATTAAAGACAGGCATAAACCAAAGGCATTTTGGGCCTGAGCAATTAAAGTGACCATAAGTTAGGCCAAAAGTAGCCCTGACCTGAGTGAGTGAAAGGGCCATAAGATAAGGCTTGCTCTGTTGACACAATTAGGAGAGCTATAAGATAAATTAACAGTGACTCCAACCAACAAGATAAGAGGGAGAGAAAATGAGGGACACCATGTGAGATTTGAGCTTTGAAAACTAATTCTATGTAGCAAAATGACCAATAAGAAGAGGTCAGATTCAGACAAAGTGTAGAGGGCCTCCTGGGGAGGCACATGGACATTTCTTTAAATTGTCATCTGAGCCCGAGGCACTGGCAGAGTTCCTGTCTCTGGTTACACCCCTCCCAAGAAGGTTACCTTTGTCCAGGTGTCAGCAGGGGTAGGTCTAGATATGTAAATCTAGTAATGCTAGGGTCTAGTTAAGAATGCAAATAAGCTCCTTTGATCCAGAATTTTGGTGTTTTCCTGGTATTTTGGGGTGTAAAAATAAACCTGCTGTGTGGCTCGGCTAGGGTGCCTGCTGCGTTTTCATCAGAGAGAATGGCACCCACCTAGCTTTCAGCTTGATGAATCTATTTTTGCCTCTGGTCTCTTTCTTTTATTTCTTAATCCCCAGCTCCTCCATTCAGGAACCTGACTGTTTTTCCTTTTCTGTGATGGAGATGGACATGGAAAAGAGACAAACTCCCCTCCAACCCCCTACCCTCTCACTCCCCTCCACCCCCACATTGAACCCCCCAACAAAGAACTGCAGCCTATTTAATGCCTCAATACAAAGAAAGCAATGGTCACCTTTCTCAGGGGTCTCTCTATCCATCCAGGAGGGACAGAGTTTTAGGCCTAGAATTAGGTTTTAGAGGTATTGTTTGCTTGCAATAAAGTTTCTGTACTTTTCACCTATCACTTTCTTCGTGGCTTCATTCTTCGAAACCATTGAGACAAGAACCAGGAATTCAGTATGTTCCAATTCATTTTTTCACGTTTCACTCTCAAACTTTTATTGTGTAGTTTGTGACATTTGAATTTTTCAAACATGATATCTAGTCATTTTATCATTTCCAGTCTTTTATGCATGCATTCCTCTCACTTATTTCATTAAATGTGAAGCATACTACTTTAAACTGTGAATGTATTTAAAGCTTCTTCTGATGAATCCTCCATAGTTTGTTTATAAAGGCAAACAACTTTATTCATGGTGAACACTTTCATTTCAACTACAATTTTTTTTAAAAAATTAGACTCTTACCTTTCAAGACTGAACACTATCTCTATGGCTTAGTGCAAATTGCAACATCACATTATTTTATTAATGCAGTAGGCAATTATATAGGCATGAGCAGGGTAGGAAAGATAGGCCAGGTGAAGAGGGTCACCAAGGTGGAGAGCCTGGGTGCCTAGCAATGGGCAACCACTCTCTTAAGCATTAACCACTGGAGATGACAGCTAGGCTTCAGCTCTGTTTCAGCCCCAGGCCCAGTAAAACAGCAAAACAAGGTGAAAGGATGCTTTGACTGACATCAGGACCAGCTTCATTGACTAATGAGCCCCTTCCCTAGTGCCAACCAATCAGTGGAGACAAAGACTTGAGAAAGCTGATGAATATTCTATTGAAATCCTCCACTGAGACCTCAAATAAAAGCCCTCAGGATGAAGGACCACCATGGTTCTCACTATGGAGCATACCCTGTGGTTCCTCACCCCCAACTTTCCCCAGGACACAGGCACTTTCTCTCTTTTATGAGGCATGCCCAAAGTTCATATCTCTCTCCCTCATTCTCCTAAGCACCAAAGGCCCTTCTACTACTCTTGTGATACTCTAAATAAACTTTCTAAATAATTTGAGTCTTAGCTCTGAATTATTTCTTCTCTTAGCCAGAACTCAAGAACTGAGGTTGCTGAACTGAGGTTACCACCAGGTAGCATATTTCTACTGCTATCATTTAATACATCAATGAATAGAATCTGACCCATCCCTTGACTTCTGAATGTGCAGCACTCTCACCATGGATTAATAAGGAAGAACCATGTGAATAGATTCTAGAAAATGTACTACTACTTGAAGTTTTGAGTGCTCTAAATACTTAAATACAACAATGCCTTTATAATCAGATTTATTCAACACTTGTAGAGAAAATTCAGTTCAATAAGACTCATAGTTAACATTTGGCCATAAGACGAAATGACTGAGTCAACAGAGTGTTTCTTGACGAGAAAAAACTTCTTGTTTTTTCTGTAAAATCTGAAATTAAAAGAGAGCTTCATTATCAACAAATAGTCATTAATAACACAAACTATTTGACTTAATAAATCATGTGAATATGCAAAAAAAGCATTCAGCAGAGAAATAAAGTGAAACCTTTCATACACATTCACAGCTCTCTTTATCTTTAAAAGACTTGACTTTGAGATATTTTCCTCCAAGTCATAATTCTTCCTGAAATCCCTCCAACCCACAGTGACTCACTTTCTGAAATTCTATTACATTATCTGTACAACTCAAATAGCAATAATCTAAAATCAGCTCATAATACAGGTTATATTTTTGTATGAATTTTATTTCCCTCAACTACAAAATGAGCTCTGACACCCTGGTTTTGAATTTCTGTGATCCTTTGTCTATGGTACTATATTTCAGAGTATGTCCACTATAAGTCACTTTATCCTTTCTTTTCTCCAGTAACTTTTTTCTTGTATTTTCCCTAATCTAAAGGTAAATAGTATATCGTGTTCTAAAGCATTATTCTTTTATTTCAGCAAAAGTAAATCCACCTCAAAATGTAGCTTTTTAAGGTTAATTTTTAAATTGTTATATTTTCTGAAGACATTCTCACAATCCATATATCAATTGTACACTCAGAGTGTGCAGGCAAAATCATAAAATGCAGGGCCATCAGTCCTAAATGCAGGACATATTTTTGTTATCTACTGTCCCATAGTGGGCATTATAATGTTATATAACTTACCATTCTCTGTAAAGCTTTTTGCTTATTCATAAGCATATAAGTTATTATCAAAATTAAAAGTAAGATAAAAGCAAATGGTATCAAGAAAGCTAAGATTTCATCCTGCTGGACACCTGGGTGGAAAAAATCACACGAAAAGAGGTAAGGGTTAGATGTTTAGAGTTATTTTGAAACAAAATTACAATAATCTAGTAAATGATGAAGAACTGAGTTTTAACTCAGAAACTGCTGCATCTTTGCCATTGCATACATACCACAGCTCTGTTGGGTATAGCATTCCTTTCATTTATGCACTTTTTATATAGGACAACTACCTTACTGGACTGTGACATCTCTACATTTCACTTGGAAAAATAGTTCCCCCAAGCCCAATTCTTATTTTCTAATATGTTTTGTTTAAAAAATGACCTTGTAAATTTTTCATATGAACAAAATGATAAAACATTAGCCAAGTAATAAGAAAAACATATCTTATGTATCTCTGTACTCTTAATAAGTCAAATGTTTATATCATATAATGCTATAGTGAGCAAGAGCTGGTCTTCAATAAAAGTCCAATAATAGATCTAGTTTTTAAAGGGCATGATTTTAAAGTTGTCTCACATTTCAGTGACTAAAGAGATATGTTTTTTCTCTTTTAGGAATGAACTTTTATTGGTTATTCTACATAGCAAAAAAATAAGCAGTAACTAGACAGCCTTAAAAAGTAACCTATTTGGTGCAGCTCAGTGGTTGAGCATCGGCCTATAAACCAGGAGGTCACGGTTTGATTCCCTATAAGGGCACATGTCCAGGTTGTGGACTCAATCCCTAGTAGGGAGCATGCCGGAGGCAGTTGATCAATGATTCTCTCATCATTGATGTTTCTATCTCTCTCTATGTCTTCCTTCCTCTTGGTAATAAATAAAACATGTTTAAAACCAAACAAAAAGACAAAGCCTGTCCTTCAAAACTAGTATCTCTCACTTGTTTTGTAGTACTACTAGAGAGCATGAAACCTAGGCCTTACCAGCACTTAAACCTACCTACCCCAACCTTATCTTTATCTTTGTATTATTCCCTTAGGATCTTATTTTGTACTAAGTTAAATTCATATGGTCAGTTCAGTTAAGATTTGCAAGGATATAATCCAGAGAAATGACTAATAATGTAAATTTTTGGCATGCAAAAAAGTGGAAAAGCAGGCTTCTTTTGTGAAGTTCCAGTTGCTTTCTCTCTCTATAGAATCAATCCAAGCGCAGCCAGCATGGCTAAGTGGTTGAGCTTCAACCTATGAACCAGGAAGTGACAGTTTGACTCCTGGTCAGGGCACATACCTCGGTTGTGGACTCCATCGCCAGTAGGGGGCATGCAGGAGGCAGCCAATCAATGATTCTCTCTCATCATCCATGTTTCTATCTCCCTCTTCCTTTCTGAAATCAATACAAACTTGTTTGTTTTTTTAAATAGCCTAAAGCCCTAGCTAGTTTGATTCAATGGATAGGGCATCTGCTGTGAATGAAAGGTCCCAGGTTTGATTCTGGTCAAGGGCACGTGCCCGGGTTGCAAGCTCAATCCCCCCAGTAGGGGGACTGCAGAAGGCAGCTGGTCAATGATTATCTCTCATCATTGATGTTTCTATCTCTCTCTCCCTCACCTTTCCTCTCCGAAATCAATAATAATAACAAAAAAAATAGCCTAAAAAACTAAGACCAATTTTACCATGAGATGAACTACCAAAATAAAAATTTTTGTTAACACTTTAGGAACAGCTTTTTGTCCAGTACAATCAATTTTTCTAGAATATTTGCTTATTTCAATTAGCCAATTTAAATTACTTTGAAAACTCGACTACTATTTTACTGTCAATTTTAATACCCTAAAAACAATCTTATTTTACCCTATAAATATTAGTGAAAAGGATTATTTGCCTTCATGAGTAGGCCCTGAGCATTCCTGGTGCTAGGCTGGATTTAGATATAAAAAACCCACTTCCCCACACCATGGGTACATTATGGCTGACATATACGCATAAGGAACTGTTTGACATTAAAATTGGAACTCAAAAGAACTGTTGGTCTAGAAACTCACTACAGACTGATTTATTTGCCTCTCAGCATAACCATTATTGCTTATCTCATTTTTGGTTCTTATAAGTGTATTTCTTGTATCATATGATCTTACTTATTTAGGGGAAATAATAAACATGAGCTGATGAAAAAAACAGACCGGAGACAGGGAAGCATCGATCAGACTGTCAAACCTCAGAGGAAAGATAGAGGAGGGGGAGGGTAAAGTGGAGAGATCAACCAAAGGACTTGTATGCATGCATATAAGCCTAACCAGTGATCATGGACAACAGGCTGTGGGGGCATGTGTGGGGAAAGGTTTGGGATGGGAATGGGGGGGATGAGGACAAATATGTAATACCTTAATCGATAAAGAAATTTTTTAAAAAAGAACTAAGACCACATGCATATTAGGAAATTGTTGACTCTTAACCCAAAGTTATTAAGAATTTACCAAGAGATACCCATCAGGGAAAAAGAAATCTCAGTCATCAATATCATGGTTAAGACTACATGTGAAATACAGAAAAAGGTGTATATTTTGAGGATCTGGCTAAAAACTCACCATAAACTATGAATTGGCAAATAACAAGATATTTAAGACACAACTTTCTCAATGCCATTCCCATGGAGGCCAGATTTTTTATAGCAGTGATTAAAAAAAAAAAAAAAAAAAGTAGAACCAGTAGGCGCTCATTCTGATTTCATATGATCTCTTGGTTAATTGAGTTCTCCATCTGTTTATTTTTTCTTCATGGCCCTTACTGATTATGCGATATATTTGGCTTCCTTATTGCTTATCTCTACTCAACTTGGGAATAAAATATATATTTCATTGGGATTGTTTTTTTATTGCTGTATCTCTCATGCCTGAAAAGTGTGTTTAATAAATATTTGATAAGTGAAAGAGAACAATGTTAGCAGTATATTAATAGATATAAATATAAGTAGTCAAACAAGAATCATATATAATAAAATCCCAGGTGATGTCTCACAACATTGTCACAAGATGGCTGCTGTGATATCATCACAAGATGGCCACCACAGATGCTCACCACAAGATGGCTGGCAGGGGAGTGCAGTTATGGGTCATCTGGCTGGCAAGGGGAGGGCAGTTGTGGGTGAACAAGCTAGCAGAGGAGGGAAGTTGGGGGCAACCAGGCTTGCAGGGGAGGGTAGTTGGGAATGACCAGGCTATCAGAGAGGGCAGTTGGGGGTGACCAGGCCTGCAGGGGAGGACAATAGGGGAGGACAGACTGTGGGGGAGGGCAGTTGGGGTGAGATCAGGCCAGCAGGGGAGGGAAGTTGGGGGCAACCAGGGAAGGGCAGTTGGGGGGGCCAGGACTGTGGGGGAGGGCAATTAAGGGTTACCAGGATAGCAGGGGAGGGCAGTTGGGGGTCATCAGGCCATCAGAGGAGGGCAGGTGGGGGCAAGATAAGGCCATCAAGGGAGGGCAGTTGGGGGCGAGATCAGACCAGCAGTTGGGGGCCATCATGCCAGTAGGGGAGGGCAGTTATGGGCAACCAAGTCATCAGGGGAGGGCAGTTGGGAGGAACTAGGACAGCAGGGTAGGGCAGTTTGGGATGATCAGGCCAACAGGGGAGCAGTTAGGTGTCAATCAGTCCAGCAAGGGAGTGGTTGGGGGAAATCAGGCAGCCAGGCAGGCTAGTGGTTAGGAGCCAGCAATCCTAGATTGTGAGAGTGATGTTTGACTGCTAGATTAGGCCTAAACCTGTCAGTCAGACAACCTCCAAGGGGTCCCAGATTGGAGAGGGTGCAGGCCAGGAGGGACACCTCCCCCGCAACATGCACACATTTCACGCACTGCGCCTCTAGTTTTAATATAATGAAACAGCATGAAAGGAGATGAAGGATAGATAGAAATGCCAGTATCTGTTTGTATCTATATCTGTATATATATTTTCTGTATATATATTTATATACCTATATACCTGAAAGAGCAATGTTAGTTAATTCATTGTAGGAAGCAGTTATAAGGTTAAGCCTCAGACTGACCTGCTGGCAAAGTTACAAACAAGTCCCAGCTTGGAGGGCATAGTCCTCTAAGCATAATTAAGCTTGATCTTGTAATTGCTCCCTAGATCTTTCCTGGGTAGCTAGAGGGCTGTGGAAAGGGTAGCAAGTGCTGCCAAAACAAGTGAAACTTACAACAACATTGTAGATTACCTTGTTTGTCCCTGATTATAAAAAAAGCCTTAACTTTGCAGTCTGGATCTGCTCTGTGGCCTCAGCCAGGCACAGAAGATTCACCTAGACCCAGTTTTTTCTCTTTGTCTATCATTTCTCCATCTTTCATTGCCCCTGTTCAGCTCGCCAAACCCTTGGCTGTGCTCGCATGGCACAATTTATTATATTTTGTCTCATTCTCAAGGCCTTTTTAGTTTATATTTCTATCTCGATATATATTTTATCATGTCACTTTAAATCAATGTTGGAAGGGAATGGAATATGTATTTTATTAATGATTTCATATTAATTAGAAAAATATTCATTAGACACAGTACTAGACACTCAAAAACAAGTATATGCTGATATATCTTTACTTTAAGATTTCTATTCTCTTAAAAATTGAAAGCATAGAAATATATTGTTAATATAGGTTCCTCCAAAAAAGAAGTATGTTCTCTTTACTGACCATCAGAAACACAAATTTTTTGTTAATAGAAATATAACAAGGCACTTAATTAAACTAGTTAAATTATTCCTATTTAAAACTGAATATTAGATTTCCCATTAATCTATGTTCCATTGAGGTGCTTTCTAATTTATCTTCTCTGATTATAGGTTATATTATAGGCCTTTTGATTTCCATAATTACAAAATACACTGAAAGAAAATTAATTTTACTAGCAAATTTCTCATTATTTAGTTGCTATTCTTTTGTCTCATACCTCTCCAGCATTCTAATTCACTCCATTCACTCCAGATTCCATCATCTGCGCAATAAACATTAATTTTGCTTCTCACTAAAAAGCATATTTCTTGGCTTTCATTTGATGTTCTTGTGACATACATTTCATTTTCAAATGTGGTAGACTAAAAGCCAAGGAAAAAATAAGATGGCATTATTTGATCTAATTGCAGCTACAACAATCCCATTTATTTTGTAAATTTCAAAGTGGGTTTTGTTACATAAGATATATGAATCAAATGACTACAAATATATATACCAAAATCCTAACAGTGATTATCTCTCTGTAAGGTGGGTTCCTTTTTTTCTTCTTTTCCCTTCCTTATTTATATTTTATATTTTTTCTACAGTAACTAGAGGCCTGGTGCATGAAATTCATGCACTCATGGGTGGGATCCCTTAGTTTGTCCTGTGCCCTCTCACAGTCTAGGAGCCCTTGGGTAAGGTGACTAGATGTACCGCCGTCCTGATTTCTAACAATTTGTCCCGTGTCCCCTGGTGTTTTAAAAAAGTCCCGATTTTTGGAAAGAATGTATTACAAGCTAGGGAACGGCGGAAGAACGGGAAGGGAATATATGGTTTTTGGCAGCCATGTGGCTATTTAGCCAGAATATGAGTTTTATATTATTTTTGTTAATTTTATAATGTTAAACTTTAATAATAACAAATAATTATTGAGAATTGATTATCAAGAACTGCTTATCAAAGTTCGCAACGATGAAAACATTTTGTAACTGTCTCTCAGACAATACACATTGTCCTGCATGCTAGTAAGCTAGTTAAACAAGTGATGTCATTACAAATCAGCTATTCAGATAATTCAGGTAAGTTATTTATTTATTTCATAAATACATAAATTTTCTTGAATTTAGCAGACAGTACTCATATTATTTATATTTTATAGTGGCGGCAAAGAGTCTAGCCCCAGCCTTGAAAGTGACACTTACAGCTTACATTACAATTAAGTGTTGAGACTTTGAAAGCCATTTTATGTGTGAAATATAATTTAACAAATTTTGTGAAAAATTTCATGACCTTTTAAACAATGACAGCAATCTACTAAAAGAAATTTTCACTCAAATGAGAAATATGCCAAAGAATAAAATAATACTATACATAATTTTTTATTTATTATATTTGTAAATTGTACTTATGTTGAAATTTAAAAAAAAATTACAATGCTATTTTTGTATTCTATGAAAATTTTTGTTGCTCCATATAGATCAAATTTTTAATCAAGAACCACCCCCACCCCCAGTCAATGATGTCCCGCTTTACCAATATTAAAATCTGGTCACCTTACCCTTGGGGGATGTCTGAGTGATGGCAAGGAGCAGGCCTAAGCCATCAGGGAGCATTGCTGGGAAGGTGGAAGAGGCTCTCGCCGCCACCACCACTGTGCTCGCCAGCTGTGAGACCGGCTTCTGGCTGAGCTGTGCTCCCCCTGTGGGAGCACACTGACCACCAGGGAGGCAGCTCCTGTGTTGAGCGTCTGCCCCTTTGGTGGTCAGTGTGCATCATAATGACTGTTCAGTTATTTTGTATATTACCCTTTTATTATATATAAGATAATGAAACACATGCAGTAAAGGGCATGTGTGACAGGACAAAATTTCTGGGGTAGCTTTGGTGTTTATAACAACAGTAATTGGATTGTTGTCAATTTTCCCAGATTCCATGAACTGGAAATTGCTGCATACACAGAATTAGAAAAAGACAGCCATCATGTGAATGTTGTTTCTATGGAAACTAAAAAATTTATACACATGAAACTCCCCCACCACCACCACCACCACACCCTGCTTTATTTTTATTTTAGTTAACTGCTATAAGACCTGTGTAGCAGTGCTCAGGGCTTGGCATGAAACTACCCTTGCAGACATGAGAACACAAGATGGATGATCTCAAAGGGAAAAAAATTACTTAAGCAATTACTTTAATTTTACATTTCAAAGAGCTTGAAGAGTGTTTCTCATAAAAAATAACAGCTTTGCTTTTATTGTAACTTTTTCTCTGGTTAAAGTGGACTGGGAATAAGATCTAGATTTTAGTTCTAGCTGTGTAATTTGACTGTAAAGCAATTCACTTTCTTGGGACTTGTAAATCAATTCAACTCCATTTTCTCATGTTTATTAAATAAATTGATTAGAACTAATGCCTCACCTAATCTCTACCATCCTCTAAATTGGAAACCAATGAATAAAAACATATAACAATATGGGTCTAAAGGCATCATCAACACATTGTTGATGCTGGTGGGTAATCAGTCTTCAAACATTGCCTACTTCCCTAGTTAGTCTCTCTTCCTTGATACAAGCAATTCTCAGGAAGCATAATTAAACTCTAATTTTGACCTTATGGCTATTCCTCAAGAAGAGATTCTTATGTTTATTTATTTTCTTTCTTTCTTTCTTTCTTTCTTTCTTTCTTTCTTTCTTTCTTTCTTTCTTTCTTTCTTTCTTTCTTCCTAAGATCTCTTCATAATCCAACTTTTTCATGTACTTGGCAACTTTAATTTATTGACACATTATTGAAAATAAGTGACTGGATTATATCTAAGGTCTTATGTAGCTTTGAAATTGGTATGATTGATTATACTTTCAGATAGCAAAAGACTTTCTTTTGTCCACTGGATGATTTGAATTTTTGGATATAAACATCACATTCTATTCATCATGTGGCTATCAATTGATTGGTTTCATGTTTGCTATTTTATTTAAAAGGCTAAATTTATGATTCTCCAAAATAAATATAATGTTCATACCATCCAAGTAGTATCATCTTCTGTGAACTTAATTTCATAAATGAAACAATTTGCTGGAATGGGTCCATTAGGTATGTTCCATTCCAGGTTAATATCCTCTGACTTCTCCACAATAATATTAAGATAGTCTGGTGGCAAAGGTTTAACTGAAAAGCAAAAGGAAACCATTTCAACATGGAAGTTACTAAAGTTTAGTAGTAGCACTTATTAAAGCAAAGGAAACAGCTATTGAGGGGAGCTCTCCCTGTCCCCACCTGTTGCCAGGGCTATGTGGGTTTGTTGCAATGTTACAAGAAAAAGAATTTCCTGAGACTCACATAGTCAAATGAGTGGAATTTATTTGTGTGGAGTTAAATCCCTGAGTTTTCAAGGTCCCATTTCCTTCTATCCTACCAAAGAAAAGGTCCAGCTGTGCCTTTAGCAGGGCTAGAATTAAAGCCATTGCTCAGAGTTTCCATTCTATATTTACATAGTCTAACCCAGCATCAGGCTAGGTTAGTTTGTGTTCTGAACTACAGTCTATCAGTCCATTGCATATGGGGTCTGCAAAGCCACATGGCTATGAAGGGAGCATGGGTAGGAGCAAAGCCAGAAGATCCAAGAGAGCCAGAGAGCCAAGGCTGCCAAGAGTATGAACTCCTTTGTCTTGGGATTATGTATCTCCGTATTTTTGTGGGTTTGCATTGGCTCCACCCCCAACTCATTGTGGTGACCAGGTGTGGTGAGCTGGGGGAAGCTGGCAAGGATTATTTGTTCTAAATCCTTTCCATGTCCCACTGTCTCTGTATGGCATTGCAAACATTTATTTGCCAAATCTTTACTCTTCCCATCTTCCTGTGAATTGTTTTCCTTCCCTTTGAAGCCCCAGACCCTTAACCCCCTTTTCTTAGCTCAGGACAGCATATAAGCCTCAATTGCCTTATTGTCTTTAGGCCTCTCATATCTATGTGAGGTTCTCATACATATGTAATTAAATTTGTTTCTTTCCATGTAAATCTGTCTTATAACAATTTAATTATTAGACCAGTTAAAGAACCTAGAATGGTAGAGAAAATTTTTTTATCCCCTACAGTGCCATTAGAAACAACTTCTACAATCATAGAAAAAACACAACCATAGCTAATTTATTTAGAGTTTATGATGTCTCAGTCACTGAACCAGAGATGTTATATCATAAATTCATTCATATTTCACAATAAATCTATGAGGTAGTCCTTTATTATCCTAATTTTACTGATGAGAAAATTAAATAGAAGTTAAAAGTATCTTGCCCAAGGTCATATAGCTAAAAAGTGGTAAATCCAAGATTCAGACCACAGTGTGGCTGACTCTAGAAGCTGTCATTGTTGTAACTGTTAGAGATAAGAACCCAGACTCAGAAAATATCCAAATATATGCTTATTGAGATCTGTAACTAAGTAATTCCATAATTACTCCATCACTAACACTAGACAATAGTACTGTATAGCAGACCAACTCTTTGAAGCTGGGTAGTAGATTGTGAGTTCTAAATAAAAATGACACTTTATCCATCATTCAATCACTTATCTTCCATACTTTTATATTTAATAAGAGTTTCCTTGATTGCTTTGTTGGCCCTCATTTTTCTAGCTTTGTATTTTAGTAGGTATCTATCTTTATATCTCTATCTCTATCAACTTTATCTCCATCTATATCTCTCTGTGTCTATCTCTTCTCTTCCAAGTGGTTGTAAATGGCTTAAACTAGAAACATTTTGAAGTTGTTTGTTTACATCACCTATATTTTGAAGCTGAAAAATGAAATAGCTGGGTCTGATAAGCTGGGATTTTGATGATCCATTAACACAGATGTAGAAATTTTTATAGTCTGGTTCCTCCAAATAGGGAAACCTGCATCCAATATTTTTTCCATTATCCTCAATGTAATCAGAACACTGTAATGCATGGTCCAAGCCATCATACCTGTAAAGGGAAGTTTTGTAAGAATTGTTTTACTGATATCTTCTGATATTGTGGTGTCCAATTTTCAATTATCTTGAGTTACTAAGTGAATTAAAAATCACTTAACATGCAATGTTTGTTGAGTACCAACTATGTATCAGATCCTATGATAAATGCTAAGGATTCCACAGTAAGGAAAGCAGACATAGCCCATGATTTCATGGAGCTTACAATCTGATGGGAACCTTCACAAAACATCAAAGAAAAGGCAAGTTTATGTTGACTTACCAACAGGATTTGTGAATCAAAGAGTAAGATTTCTATTAAGAAAACCAGAAATTTATATAATTCTGGATTATACTTTTTTATTATTATAGTTGGATTATAATATTATCTTAGTTTCAGATATACAACATAAATTCAACATTTGTATACCTTACAAAATGATAATCACAATAAGTCTAATAACCGTCTGTCACCATGCAACATTATTACAATTATTGATTATATTCTCTGTATAGTACACTACATTTCTGTGGCTTATTTATTTTATAGCTGGAAGTTTGTACCTCTACAAAATCAATAAAAATATATTTTAAAAAAATTCAACAATAAAGATTTTTTTTTAAAGTTTGTAAAAGAGAGAGCCAGAGGTCATTCCAGATAGCAATGCACATAATATATAAAGGAACATAACATTAGGGGATGGTGATTGGTTGGGGGGAGATTAACCAAAGAACTTGTATACAGATATACAAGTTTGTTCCCCTTCACTTTTTTTCACCATCCTCCAAGCCTCTTCTCCTCTGGCAACCTTTATGTACTATTGGTGAAATTGTAAGTTGGTGCAAACAGTGTGTAAAACATTATGGAGTTTCCTCAAAAAAATTAAAACTATAACTACCATATGACCCACCAATTTGCACTTCTGGATATTTATGCAAAGAAAATAAAACACTAATTTGAAAAGATGTGATATATATAAATATTACTCAGCAATAAAAAGGGATGAAATTTTGTGATTTGCAGCAAAACTTATGCTAAATGATACTTCCTTTTTTATATTGTACATTTGAAGAAAGATTTACAAAATATTGTTATCTATACCAATAAAAGAATAATATGCTAATTAGACCAGACATCTTTTGGACTACCTTCCGGACATTCTTCCGGACAAAGCCACAGTGGCGGGGCTGAGGCAAAGGCAGCTAGGAGGATCTGATTGGCAGGGGCAAGCATTTAGGACAATCAGGCAGGCAGGCAGAGGTGGTTAGGGGTGATCAGGCAGGCAGGCAGAGGTGGTTAGGGGTGATCAGGCAGGCATGGGGGAAGTTAGGGGCATCAGGCATGCAGGTGGAGTGGTTAGGGGTGATCAGGCTGGCAAGCATGCAAGCACTTGGGAGCCAGCAGTTCTGGATTGCAAGAGGCATGTCTGACTGCCAGTTTAGGGCTGATCCAGCAAAGATCAGGCCTAAACTGTTAGTTGGACATCCCTCAAAGGGTCCTGAATTGGACAAGGTTCAGACTGGGCTGAGGGGCACTCTTCCCCCCTTCATGAATTTTGTGCACCGGGCCTCTAGTTTTTAATAAAATAAATGAAAATTCTCTGAGGATATAATACATATCAAGAGATAAACCTCAGGTCCTAGCCAGTTTGGTTCAGTGGATAGAACATTAACCTGTAAACTAAAGGGTCCCTGGTTTGATTCCTGTAAAGGGCATGTACGTGGTTGTAGACTCCTTCCTGGCCAGGATCCTGGTCAGGACACATGAAAGAGACAACCAATTGATATGTTTCTCTAACACCAATGTTTCTCTCTTTCCTTTTCTCTTCCACTCTCCCTAAAAATCAATAAGAAAAATATCCTCAGGTGAGGGTGAGAGAGAGAGAGAGAAATATTAACATCAGAAAAGCCAGAGCCTGGTCGGTGTGGCTCAGTGGTTGAATGTCAACTTATGAACCAGGAGGTCATAGTTCAATTCCTGGCCAGGATTCGATTCCCAGTGAGGGCATATGCCTGGGTTGCAGGTTTGATCCCTAGTGAGGGGCATGCAGGAGGCAGCCAATCATGATTCTCTCTTATCATTAATGTTTCTATCCCTCTCCCTTCTTCTCTGAAATCAATAAAAATATATTTTAAAAAAATTCAACAATAAAGATTTTTTTTTAAAGTTTGTAAAAGAGAGAGCCAGAGGTCATTCCAGATAGCAATGCACATAATATATAAAGGAACATAACATTAGGGGATGGTGATTGGTTGGGGGGAGATTAACCAAAGAACTTGTATACAGATATACATAACCTGTAGTGGAGGCCTGGGATGGGAGGGGAAAAATTGGGGGCAGGTTGTTAAGGGGTCAATGGGAGATAAAAGGAGAAATATGTAATACTTTCAATAATAAATTTTTTTTCTTAAAAAAAGAGCATGTGTAAGGGGGAAAGGTAGAGATGGGTCTACTCTAAATGGAAAGGAACATTCACAGTGGTGATAGTAGAAAGTGATGCTGGAAAGGCAGTGATACAGTGAGGAAGAGACTTGAATAGCAGTTTAGATTTTATACTGGAGGCAATGAGTAGCCATTGGAATAAAAGAGTGGCATATGCATATTGCAGTATAGGAAGATAATTTTGGCTACAATGTGCAGAATGAATGGGAAGGGAGAGGTTGGCAGCAAAGGGACCATCATTTGGGGTGCTATGGCAATCATGCAGATTTGGGATGAGGTGAGCCTAAAGTAGTGTTCTTACAAAGAGACAGAAAGTAAAGGACAGATATATGACCTTGCAAAGGAGTTTCAGGACATGATCAGTGTTATCATGAAACAACTAAGGAATGAAGGAGATAGAAGATTCAAGCTGGCTCTAAGTCAAAAACTCGGGGATGGTTACCAAAGATGAGAAAGTCAGAAAAAAAAATCCAGTCTTAATAGATACTTGCTTTTTCAAAAACATGTCAATTTGTTTAGATTATAACTCCCATTTATCTCAAGAATACAAAATTTAATCTAGTATAGAAACAGTGATTGCATTCCTTTTATCACCCATAGAGTACCTTCCAGAAGCCACAGCGTAAACCTGCTTACTCCCATTTAAAACCCCAACCAGCCCAGCTGGTATGGCTCAGTGGTTGAATATTGACCTATAAACCAGGAGGATAGGGTTTGATTACCAGTCTGTGCAGGAAGGGGTGGGGGGGACACATGCCCAGGTTGCATGCTTGATCTCCAGTAGAGAGCATGCAGGAGGCAGCTGATTAATGATTATCTCTTATCATTGATGTTTCTATCTCTTTCTCCCTCTCCCTTCCTCTCTGAAATTAATAAAAATATTTAAAAAATAAATAAAACCTAAATAATTGTAAAAAAAACACTTCATAAACAGAGCACTGAAAAATATAATGAATTTAAGTAAAAATATACTTACTCATACTATGGATTAACTTTAATTGATATTTTCCTAATATGAAATTCTTATTATAAAAACTTACCAGTAAAACAAGTAGTAATTGGTATCAAAGTTGGCATCCATACCAAGTTTCCAAGAGCACAGTAAATATTCCCAGTTGTAATATATACAATCCATATCCTGAATTTTAGTTTCCAGATTTCCTAAGGAATAAATGAACTGAATAAGTGAATGCTTGAAAGGTATGGTGATGAATCATTTTGGAAATCACTGTATAATTTTATTTCATTTCCTTTGACCTCTCCATTTCATTTAGCAATCAGCATACTCAAGAATATTTCAAAGGGGCCCTTTGCGCTATCTTCACTGACATCATGTTCCAGTTCCTGGTTGGATTTACTTTTGGCAACCTGATTTTAATGTATCTGGCTCAAAATTATGTCATGTTAAACCTGGCTAAAAACTTGAAGAAATTAAAAGACATGGATGCCAAGAAGAAATCTAGTTCATGAGGCCAGCTCCAGCACTGGCTCCAGGAAATCCTGACTCTACTCTTCTCCAGGGTCTTTTTACATCTGAACCAAAGTTTCTGTCTTCTGTCCAGTTTCAGCCTTTGCCTGAATCACAAATGGGGCCACAAGGTAAGAACTGTGCTTACTTTCCCAACACCCTCACCTCTTCCCTTCCTCCTTCTAGCACCTTGGGGAGTCCTAAGACTGGAATTATAGTGCTAGATTAGTAAACATGATCTTTAATTAGCTGTGTCTCCCTTATTCTTTGGGATTTTTCACTGCCTTTTAAAAAAAATCAATGAGTTTTGTATAGCTGATCAGATATAAATAATGGTACTTCACAGGTTAGCAATTACAAGGGTGTTTAAACATTTGGTACTAAATTGTGTTATTTCAAGGTCACTAAAATTAAAATCTAGAAGCCAGTTCCTGGTAAATTATCATTTATTTTATATTGTTCTCAGTATAACTGACATATATAATTCTATAGTTGCTAATTTAACTAATAAATCAATTTGCTACTCATCAACTGAGAAACTATATTCTGAGAACTCCATCAGGAATTGGGGAATCCTACGTAATAAAAGAATAATATGCAAATTAACCACAACTCCACTATACCCACAAGTCACACCAACAAGCCAATCAGAGTGAGTATGCAAATTAACTCCAACCAAGATGGCTATCGCCACAGAGAGTAGGAGGGAGGCTTGGGTTTCCTCCACAGTGGAGAAAGACAAGCTTTCCACACACCCTGGCTGGCCCAGGCCTCCACTCAAGTATACAAAGTTCCAATTATAGAAGATAAATCCCAAGAAAAATGGTGGCAGCCACAGAGCTGGAGAGAGTAGGCTAGGGTTGCCCATGGCAACAGAGGAAGCCAAGATTCCCATCTGCCCTGGCCAGCCTAAGCCTCCACTCCAGGCTACAAAGTTTCAATTATAGAAGATAAACATATCCCAGGGCCTCTGTTTGGGTTGCTTGGGGGGAGGGAGGGCGGGGGGGAGGACATGGCTAGCCTGCAAACCACCACAGGCCCCTTCACCAGGACACCCCATACCGCAAGGGAACCCTCACTCTGATCTGCGACACACTTCAGGGAAAAATAGCTGGCCCACAACCATGCACCAGGCCTCTATTCAATCTAATAAAATATTAATATGCATATTGACCATCACTCCAACACACAAGATCAAGATAGCTGCCCCCATGTGGTCAAAGATGGCCACCACACGATGGCCAGCAAGGGAGGGCAATTGGGGGAAATCAAGCCTGCAGGGGAGGGCAGTTAGGGGTGATCAGGCCAGCAGAGGAGGGAAGTTAGGGCTAAACAGGCTGGCAGAGAAGCAGTTAGACATCAATCAGGCTGGCAGGGCAGTGGTTAGGGGGTGATCAGGCTGGCAAGCAGAAGCCATTAGGGGCAATCAGGAAGGCAGGCAGGCGAGCAGTTGGGAGTCAGCAGTCCTGGATTGTGAGAGGGATCCCAGAATGGAGAAGGTGCAGGCTGGGCTGAGGGACACCCCCCACCCCACTGCTGCCCATGCACGAATTTAGTGCACTGGGCCTCTAGTTAAAAAATAATGACCTATGTCCACAGTAGACTTCATTGTTTAGTATGCATGTTTTTTCTTAAAGATGCATTTGATCTGGCTCTTTTTTCTCAAAAGAATCATACTTATTTTAAGGGATTATAGATGCATTTGACATTACATGATGGGTAAGTGACAAGTTGTCTATAAAGAATATTTTATGTCTTTTCACATTAAGAGAAATGTTTCAACATTATAACTGTAGTCATTCTCACAAGAAAACTTTTTTGCTGTAATCAGAAATTATCATTGTAACTTGTCAAATGTATAATGAGTTCATTTGAAAAAATTAAACAAAAAATGTTTTAATACATAATTTGTAGAAAAAAAAGAATATTTCAAAGGGAAAGTTGTTGGAAATCACTTCACTTTCAAAGGGGCTCACAAAAGAAAAAATCTTTGAGGGCTCATTTACTAGTGTAAGTACTATTATAAGCATACACACAAGAACTAAGCATATACACATTTGGCAAATGCTCACATACACGTTTATTAATATGACACCAAAACTGAGAATATTAGCCTGATAAGTTGTTGGTTTTGCTAAATGTGATTACTAATATAAAGAATTGAAAAAGGCCAATCGCACACTCCTAAGAAGGATTCTATTTTGTGCCACACTCTCAACTGTACATGTAATCTCATGTATAAGAGTTAAAGGACTTTTTCTCTATATGGATTGTTCTGACAGTATTAAATATGAAAGGAGAACTTTGTTTTAACCTTGAGGTGATGTCCAATAACTAGCTTCTAACCATGAACTCTGAACTTCAGATCCATTTGTGCATTGCCCTTGTAGAACTGTATGTATCTTTGCTTCAACGCCTTTGTTAAGATCAAACCCATCTTTGTAAAGGAGATTCTTAGTGATGATGGTCTGATAAAAAGATGAGACAAAGTCAAGTTTAGAAACAGTGATGGTATCATAAGCCACATTAATAAGGTTAATAGGTCATTAATAACCTGAGGAGTTTCAATATCTATAAAATTCATCATGATTATGTGATACAAAGTCTTCGTTATATTTCTGGCAGAACTCACTTCAGTATATTATTTGAAGAGATCATTTGAATCTTAATATCATTCAAAAAACAAACAAAAAAACTGGAAGAGAAAAAAAGGCTCTGTGGCAGATTTTGAGCTTTAAGCAACTTGAAATCAACAGATACTTTTCACATACTATATACATATTACATGGCAAATGATTTATATCTTTAAAATGTCATATAAATTCTTCAGAAATAATATAAAATAAAATATTGTGGTTAACTGGAGAAAGCAAGACAAAATGTGAGTTCCTAGGTTAAAATCATATATCATTAATCCTTGTATTCCTGATATCTAGCAGAGTGCCTGATACAAAAAGTTGCCCAGTAAATGATTTGAATTGCTCCTTGAAACTACCTAGCTGAATAAGAAGGTAACATAATTCCTTTTACAACAGATTCCTGTACAACAGAAATCTTTAAAGGAACATGCTTGACTATGTAAATAGTTAATATTTTAACTTACTACAATATATGCAAAGAACCATGTTCTTTTCTGTGGGGTAAGTACAGAGATAAATAAAGCTTGATTCCCACAGAGTAAAATCTCACAGTTGAGTAGCATATACAAAACCCATATACAAGTATATAAGTAACTATGAAATATGATAAAATATATAAGTACTTTTCAAGTTCATATTCCATGGAACCAAGTATTTTTCTATATACTTCCAATGGTAATCTTAATACTGGATGGGTTGAAAATAGATGTGGCAAGAAGCACAGTAGACAGCAGCAACCATGGTGGCTTGTTATCCTATATAATAAAAGGTTAATATGGCCGAAACCAGTTTGGCTCAATGGATAGAGCGTCGGCTTGGGGACTGAAAGGTCCTAGGTTCAATTCTGGTCAAGGGCATGTACCTTGGTTGCGGGCATATCCCCAGTAGGGGGTTTGCAAGAGGCAGCTGATCGATAACTCTCTTTTATCGATGTTTCTAACTCTCTATCTCTCTCCCTTCTTCTCTGTACAAAATCAATAAAATATATATTTTTTAAAAGGTTAATATGCAAATTAACTCTATCAGGGAATGACTGGTCGCTATGATGCACGCTGACCAGCAGGGGGCAGACACTCAATGCAAGAGCTTCCCCTGGTGGTCAGTGCTGGAGCTCCCCCCCCCCCCCAGCTCATGACTGGCAAGCACAGCAGTGGTGGCTGGAGCCTCTCTTGCCTCCTTGGCAGCACTAAGGACCCCTTGGGAGATGTCTAACTGCCAGGAGGACATCCCCCGAGAGGTCGCAGGCTGAGGGACCCCTCCTCTCCCCGCTGCCAGTCCACAAATGTTGTGCACTGGGCATCTAGTATCTTAATAATAGCTATTGAAATACAGGAATTAGAGTGGACACTGACATCAAGAATCATAAGAAAACTAATAATTGCTCTGATATCACATATGCATGCTTTACTTACCCTCCAGTTTTCACTGTCGATGTTTCGGTATTTTAATTCATATTCTACTGTGTATTCCTCACAATTATCCAGAAACACTGGAGGTTGCCATTGCAAATAGAGATAACCTAAATATCCAGGATCCACTATCTCAAAATCCTCAGGAGGATTAACTGAAATGAAATTAAAATATTTTATAATGACAAAGATTGTTAAATCTAGATTACTTCTATATGTCCATCAACTGATGAATGGGTAAATAAACTGTGGTTCATCTATAAAATGGATACACGCTACACTATGAAGAACCTTGCAAACATAAAGCTAAATGAAATAAGTGACTACAAAAGATCTTATATTACATGATTCCCTTTATATAAAATACCCAGAATAGGCAAATTCACTGACACAGAAAACAGATTAGTGGTTGCCAGGAGCTGAAGGAGAAGAAGAATGAGGCATGACTGCTGAATGGATATGAGTTTTCTTTTTGGGGTGATGTAAATATTCTAGAATTTGATACTAGTGGATGTTACACAACTTTGTTAATATACTAAAATCCACAGAACAATGCACTTTAAAAGTGAGAGTTTTATGCTATGTAAATTATATCTTGCCCAGCCAGTGTGACTCAGTGGTTGACCCATGTACCAGTAAGTCATAGTTCTATTACCAGTCTGGGCACATGCCCAGGTTGTGGGCTCAATCCCCAGTGGGGAGCATATAGGTGGCAGCTGATCAATGATTATCTCTCCTCCTCCCTTCCTCTCTGAAATCAATAAAAACATCTATAATAATAAAAGCATAATATGCTCATTAGACCAGATGACTTTCCAGATGCAACCAGGACTGCGAGGGAAGCCCGGGTCACAGGAGCCTGCCAGCGGCCAGAAGGAAGCTCCAAGACCCAGGTGCCAGAGAGAATCCTGGGTCCCAGGTGCCAGAGGGAAGACAGTGCTGGCAGCTGGGGGAAGGAAGGCCTACTCTTGCACGATTTTTGTGCATTAAGCCTCTAGTCTTTTAGAAAATTATATCTCAATAGAGCAGTTTAAAAATCTGGATTACTGCTATATAGTTATCCCCTCTTTCAGAAATCTCATATGCAAAATGTGATTTTGCCTAGCCAGGTACTAAGTTTTCATAGAAACAAAAATTTTAACACAGAGTTATCTCTATGGTCATATAGATCATAATTTGGTCTAGGATGTGAACACTTTATTACACAAATCTCTCTAATAACAAGAACCAAAAAGTATTAATTCAGTGTATACTATATCCATATAACATCATGGCATATACAAAATAGGAATCCTATCTAATAAAAGAGTAATATGCAAATTGACCATCACTCTAAGATACAAGATGGCTGCCCCCATATGGTCAAAGATGGCTGCCCCCATGTGGACACAGGATGGCCACCACAAGATGGCCTGCAGGGTAGGGCAATTGTGGGCAGTTAGGAGTGACCAGGCCAGCAGAGGAGGGCAGTTGGGGGAGACCAGGTTAGCAAGGGAGGGCAGTTGCAGGGGACTGGGCCAGCAGAAGAGGGAAGTTCGGAGGAACCCAGACCTTCAGGGGAGGGCATTTGGGGGGACCAAGCCTGCAGGGGAAGGCATTGGGGGGAGCAGGACAGCAGGTGAGGGCAGTTGAGGGAAACCAGTCCTGCAGGGGAGGATAGTTGGGGAGAGCCAGACCTGCAGGGGAGGGCAGTTAGGGGTGACCAGGCCAACAGGGGACGGCTATTGGGGGGAACAAGGCCTGCAGGGAAGGGAAGTTGTGGTCGATCAGGCCAACAGGAAGGGCAGTTAGAGGTGACCAGGCAAGCAGGGGAGGGCAGTTGGAGGGGACTAAGCCTGCAGAAGAAGGCAGTTGGGGGTGACGAGTCCTGCAAGGGAGGAGAGTTAGGTGTTACCAGACTGGCAGGGGAGGGCAGTTAGGGGTGATCCTGGTGGATCGGGCCTAAATGAGCCATCAGACTTTCCTCAAGATTGAAGAGGGGGCAGGCTGGGTTGAGGGACACAGCCCCCCCCTCCCCCTGCCGTGCATGAATTTTGTGCACTGGGCCTGTAGCAGAAAATATAAAAGACAACTACATGACTAAAGGCCCTACAATTAGGCAGATCTTGTTGGTTTAGTCTCATTAATTAAATCCTTTAGTAAACTAAAGTTCAGAGTGATACCTATAGTATGGCAAAGCAGGGCCACTTTTTGAGAGGATTCAAGAAGTGGCAGGCAGACTGAATATTGTGACACCTGGAAACAACTTCTTTTATTTTGGGGAAAGATGCAGTGGGAAGCAATGGCTCCCCCATATAGTAACTTAAAAGCAACAAAAACAAACAAATCCTATATAATAAAAGGCTAATATGCAAATTGACCAAACAGCACAACAACCAGTTGCTATGACACGCACTAACCACCAGGGGGCAATGCTCAAGGTAGAAGATGCCATGAGTGGTCAGTGCACTCCCACAGGGGGAGAGCCACTCAGCCAGAAGCCCTGAGGTAGCCTCACAGTTGGTGAGTACAGCGGAGGTGGCAGGAGCCTCTCCTGCTTCCACAGCAGTGCTAAGGATGTCCAACTGCTGGCTTAGGCCTGTGGGGAGCAGGCTTAAGCCATCAGTTGGACATCCCCCAGGGTCTCCCAGACTGTGAGATGGCACAGGCTGGGCTAACGGACTCCCCACCCCAGTGCACGAATTTCATGCACCAGGCCTCTAGTATTCTATAAACTTTTGTACTAGAAAAGCTAGCAGTACTATACTATATCCCTCATGTTGCCTTTCTGTTGCTAAATCCCTCTCATTTTTAAAAAATATATTTTTATTGATTTCAGAGAGGAAGGATGAGAGAGAGAAATATCCATAGTGAGAGAGAATCATGGATCAACTGCCTTCTGCAAGTCCCCCACTGGGATCGAGCGCACAACCCAGACATGTGCCCCCGACCAGAATCAAACCTGGGACCTTTCAGTTCACAGGCCTACGTTCTATCCACTGAGCCAAATCGGTTAGGGCTAAATCCTCATTACTACTCTGTTGTTCATTTTAATACTTTATAACACTGAGGGGGGTAGAGGGAGGATCCACACACACAAAAAATGTGGCAGGATTTTAAACAAAAGTTAAGGATAGTAATTAAAGAAAGTTTTAGTTAGTTGGTACCAGGCAGTGAGGTTTTAGATAATTAACCTATGCATTGGCTAGGACTATATAAAACATTTGGAAATGTTTTGGAATTATTTCAGGAAACCCATGAACAAAAAGATATGTTCTTACTAGTCAGTCTCACTTATAATTAGCTATTGAGTTTGGCTTTTATCCCACAAAATGTTTATCATCAGTTACCTTACACATGACGCTGACTAGTAAGAACATACCTTTTGTGCATGGACTTCCTGAATTAATTCCCAATAACAATCCACCTATTTGTCATACATTTTCTTAGAGCAGGTTGAAAAAGCAGTTAATATCCTTAATTTTAACACTTCTCCATTGTTGGTTTACCTTTTATCTCAGTGTTTGAAGACAAAGTAGAGCCAAATGCTGTGCAAATAAGAATGGCATATAGGCATCTGACATCCAAATGAATGAAAGCCATTTTTCTAAAATTTAATACCTTGAAATTCCACTCTAAAGAAAGAAAAAAAATACATTTTAATTTTATCTTACTTCAAATAATCAAGTGATTAAATGTGGCTGAAAACCATTTGGGAACTTTCTGCATGCCTTCCTACCAAGATTTGGGAAAATTGTACCTCTCTGAACCATGAACAACAAAAAATCGTTTGTAACCAATATATTTGGAAATTGAGGATTCTCATCTCATCCTTCTTATAAGGATGAAAACAAAGCAAAACCTGTGTCCCTTCACCTGCCTCCAACTCCCACACCCACACCCACACTTTTCTATACATTACATCTGTGGCCAGGACGAGATGACTTAGCCTTCAGCCTGAAGACTGAGCCAGAACCACCAGAGTGCCCTATCTGGTGCAGGGTGGGCAGGGGGGGGGTGTGGGTGGGGGAAGAGATTATGACATCATTAGTCTCCATAGCAACCCTCTCTCCTAGCAACAAACAACTAATACAAACTTTTTTGAAATAAAAAGTATTTTAAAGTTATCTGACTACTATCGATAAGAATGCTCAGAACCCACATCAAAAGTCTCAAATAACACAAAGCTTTGTTCCATTCCTTCACAAATATTAAATCAACATCATCTCACATATCTGTTTCACTCTTCCCTGTATATTTTGTATCAGTAAATGGCATCATCATCTTCCCAGTTGCCCAAACCAGAAACTTGGAGGTTTTCCTCAATTTCTCCCTCTCTCATCTAATATCTCAATTATTACTACCATTTTCTAAATTGAGGATCTTTTCATCAAGGATCTCCTTATCCAGTCTTTCTTGCCTCCAAAACATTCTCCACTCATGTAGCAAAAATGACCTCTCTAAAAGAGAATTCTGAACTTTATAGCCTTTTCTTAAAGCAGTATTTCACTGCCACAGAATACAATTTAATAATCTTTTTGGAGATTCCAACATGGTGGCTAGCAAAACCGGAGCGAGGGAGAGAGTGAGTGAATAAGGGAGTGAGAAAGGAGTGTGTAGATGTGCATAGTGTGTGTGTGTGTGTGAGTGTGTGTGTGTGTGTGTGTGTGTGTGTGTGTGTGTGTGCGTGTGTGTGTGTACCAGTCAGATCTCATAAGAGTCACTGGGGCGGGAGGTTCAGGCTTTCTGGGCAAAGAGCCCCCGCTACCACCATAGGTACTCCCTGGGTGGGCATGACTAAGGCTCAGAAACCACACCATCTTGAAGGTGGGAGTGGCAGCGGCTAGGAGCACAGCTCACCACCACCCAGACTAGGCTTGGACATTGACTCTGACCATGCAGTAAGTTGAAGAACAGCAGGACCTCACCTGCAACCTGCTGCATCCACTGCTCAAGACAGGCAGCTAGTGGAATACCAATCTCACAAGCATTCCCTGACACAGGCATTGACTGAGAAAGCCAGCGAGTGGAATGCCAGCTGGACCTCATGCGTGCTCCCGCCCCCCACCACTGGTACTGCCTGGGACCACCAGAGAGTGGAACACTAATGGGACTCCTAGCACCGGTAGCTGACACCTTCAGGTCCAACTCCATGGGGAGAGGGAATACAGCTCAGAACAGGAACAATCAAGGTGTGAGACTCAAGGCAGACCCAGTCTCTGAGCCAAGGAGTCCTGACCACTAGACTACTAGGGGATGCAACCTCTCAGACCTCAATCAGGTTGCAAAAAGAGCAGTTATTCAGGATAGACACATCAAGGGACCAGATCCAAAATCACAATAAAATCCAGCTAGCCCCATAAATCCAGCTAGTGGACCCAAAGGTCTTTGAGTGTGTATGTGTGGTTTGGTTTTTTGTTTTGTGTGTGTGGGGGGGGGGTGGATTATTTTTTGTTGTCCCCTTTTTCTTTCTTCTTTTTTCTTGCATATCTGTAATTTTTTTCCTTTGATTCTATTCTACTTTAGCCTTTTATTATTGTTATTATTAATTTTTCTTATTTGTTTCATTTTTCTCTTTTCCCATTTCTTTTCTGGTTTTACTTTTCCTATTTATGACTTCATATACCTATTATTACTATACTTTAATTTCATTATTATTATTTCATTTATTTTCTGTTTCCACTTATTTTTTTTCCTCCTATATTAGTTCTTTTACCTTCTTCCTTACTTCCACATAGCTACTTTTTTTTGGTCTTCTTTCTTCCTTTTTTTTTTTTATATACCCTCTAAGTCTTTGGCCATGTGTCTTCTAATATTCTTTTTATTTCTTCTGTGCTTTTCTTTTCTTTTTTTTTTTCCTTCTTAGATTTTCCAGATGTTGATGCACTGAGTAACTTGATTTTTGTGGTGTTTTGGTTTGGCCCTGTTGTGTCTTATTCCATTCTGTCAGCACTATATAACTGCTGGCACAAAGATGTTGGGGTTGAACCACACTGGCAGCAAGTCCAAGGAGGAGATCCTTCCCAGGAATGGGACATCAACAATCAAGTCCCAGTTATAAATGGAGAGCCCAAATAATGCACACAAGGAGCATTCCTAGAGCATGTAGTTCAGGTAGACAAAGATACTGCACCACTGGATCTCTTAAGATAATTTCTACACTAGGCCATCCCACAAAAACTGGAAGGCATAACAGTTCTATATAATACATAGAAGTAAATACAAAGAGACAGGAAAAACGGAGAGACTCAGAAGCAACCCCCAAGTAAGAGAAAAGAAGAAATCTCCAGAAAAAGAAATAAATGAGATGGAGGCAAGCAATCTATCAGACATAGAGTTCAAACAATGGTTATAAAGATGCTTAAGGAACTTAGTGCTAATTTAATAGCATGAAAAGGAAACTACAGGCTATGAATAAGAACCAGGCAGAAATGAAGAATGATATAGCTGACATCAAGAACATATTGGAAGATATTAAAAGTAGATTAGATAAAGCAGAGGATCAAATCAGCAATTTGGAAGACAATTTACAAATAAATACCCAATTAAGGCAGCAAATGGAAAAAAGAATTAAAAAGCAGGAAGATAGCTTAAAGTAGCTCATGAAATGTAATAACATCCAGATTATAGAAATACCAGAAAGGTAAAAAGTTCAGCAAGGAACAGAGAACCTGTTTAAAGAAATAATGACAGAAAAGTTCCCCAACCTGGTGAATAAAAATGACACACAAGTTCAAGAGGCACAGAGAATCCAAATCAAGATGAACTCCAAAAGACTCACCATAATTAAAATGGCAAATGTTAAAGACAAAGAAAGAATTTTAAAGGCAACAAGAGAGAGAGAGAGACAGAAAAGTACTTATAAAGGAGTTCCCATTAAAATGTCAGCTGACTTTTCAATGGAAACATTTCAGGCCAAGAGGGAATGGCATGAAGTTCACAAAGTAATGAAAAGCAAGGGCCTAAATCCAAGAATACTGTATCCAGAAAGGCTATCATTAAAAATTGAATGTGAAACAAAAAGCTTTCCAGACATAAAAAAGTTAAGTAGTATATTGCCACCAAAGCAGAAACACAAGAAATGTTAAAGGGATTCCTCTATGAAAAAGAAAAGGGTAGAGAGGATCATAGGGATAAAGAAAATAAAAATGGCAACAAATAAATACTTATCAATAATAACCTTAAGTCTAAATGGATTAAATGCTCCAGTCAAAGACCTAGGATGACTGAATGGATAAGAAAACATGACCCAGCCAAAACAAGTTTGGCTCAGTGAATAGAGTGTCAGACTGTGTACTGAGGGGTCCCGGGTTCGATTCCAATCAAGGGCATGTACCTTGGTTGTGGGCACATCCCCAGTGAGGGGGGGGTGCAGGAGGCAGCTGATCAATGTTTCTCTCTCATCAATGTTTCTAACTATCTCTCTCCTTTCCTCTTTGTAAAAAAATCAATAAAATATATTTTTTTAAAAAGAAAACACGACCCATATATAAGCTGTCTACAAGCAACCCACCTCAGAACAAAAGATGCACAGACTAAGAGTGAAAGGATGGGAAAATATATTCCATGCATATGGAAAGGAAAAGAAATCTGTGATAACAACACTCATATCAGATAAAATAGACTTCAAAACAAAGGCCACAACAAGAGATAAAGAAAGCCACTTTATAATACTAAAGGGAATGATTCAACAAGAAAATACAACCCTTGTAAACATATATGCACCCAATACAAGAGCACTTTATAATACTAAAGGGAATGATTCAACAAGAAAATACAACCCTTGTAAACATATATGAACCCAATACAAGAGCAGCAAAGTACATGTAACAAGTACTGATGGATTTTAAGGGAGAGACTGACAGAAATACAGTCATAGTAAGGGACTTTGACATCCCACTGACATCACTGGATAGGTCTTTAAGACAAAAATTGAATAAGGAAACAGAGGCCTTAAATGACATACTAGATCAGATAAATATAACTGCTATTTACAGGACATTTCTCTCCAAAGCAACAGAATATACATTCTTCTCAAGCACAAATGGGGCATTCTCAAAGATAGACCACATGTTGGGCACAAAACAAGTCTATACCAATTCAAGATTAATCCCATAAAGAAACTGAAAGATAAAACCACAGCCCACTGACATCTGGTTAGGTGGTTAAGTGTCGATCTATGAACCAGGCAGTCACAGTTTGATTCTTGGTCAGGTCACATGCCTGGGCTGTGGGCTCAATTCCCAGTGTGGGGCATGCAGGAGGCAGCCAATCGATGATTGTCTCTCACCATTGATGTTTCTGTCTCTCTCTACCTCTCCTTTACTCTCTGAAATAAAGAAAAATACATTAAAAAGAAAAAGAAAACAATCATATCAATAGATGCAGGAAAAGCATTTGACACAATCCAGCACCCTTTTTAGATAAAAACTCTGGGTAAAGTGGGAATAGAAGGATCATACCTCAGCATAAAAAAGGCCATACATAGCAAAACTACAGCCAGCATAATAATCAGTGGGCAAAAACTAAAAGAAATTTCCTTAAGAACAGGAAGAAGACAAGGATGTCCACTTTCACCACTCTTATTCAACATAGTACTGGAA